AAGAAACATTCACTCATTTCATTATTTTCTGACTTTTTTAGACTTCTGTACGAGGATGTTTCACGCTAATATAATGGCAGCTAAATGATAACACCCTTGTAGATTACAAATCACGGAAGGGGATCAAGAGCACCAAACCAACAAACCCTAACAAATAAAACAGTGAAGAAAGCACAGCTTACCGAGACCAGACCAGCGGAACCTTCAGCGATTACTTCTTCGATATTCTTTCCTTGTAGCCGTGAGATGACGAGCTTGGCAGCTTCAGCATCGGTATCGACTCCAACGGCACCGAGGATATTTTTTATATCTTCTAACTAAACAAGTTCATTCTTGTCAGATTTTAAAGATTTCGGTTTTAAACGGAGAAGACTTGATACCTTCGGAGACGGGTTTCCACCAGCGACTGCTAGCATATACGCAGAAACGTAACGCATTGTACCTAAAGGATATTATTCAGTTCTCTACGAAGCTCGGTACGAGAATATTACGACGAAATATGTTTACGATTGTGAATTTAGGCTTTGCTCTTTGAGGTGGAGGATAGTGGTGACGTCCCCCATCCCCATCTTCACATACATTTCTAATCGAGCTCATTTTAAGTAAAAATTAGAAAGGACTAAGACGATTTTAGCAACAAAATTTGTGAGTAATGCTACAAAAAGGGACTACGAAGCAATGGCCCTCCAGTCTCTGAGACAGAAAGTAATATAACCGAGTAGCAATATAAAGAGTGTCATATATGTAACAAATAGAGAATTGGTTTCTTGAAATAACAACAACACAAGGAACCAAGAGGAAGGAACGAAGAGCTTGTAAGACATATTCGAGCTTTTCACAAATAAAAACTAACAAGAGCTTGCACTACCACTCCACAAAACTCCGAATGATCCGACAGCGCTTTTCTACAGAGTTTTTTTTTGGGCTAGAACGATCGCTCAATGGTATTTAAATAAAAATTTGTGGAATAATTTAGGACATTTCTAAAATAAATAAGTTGCATAGCTAAAATAGAGAGACAACTCGTCCAAAAGAATTTCGCGGCGTGGATTCACAACAATCCTGGCATCAGCTAAACAACGTGCATGAGTGAAAATGACTGAATCGGGCTTGACTGACGGCAGCTATAAGCTCAGACTCTCTGGAGAAAGTGGATCATAAGTTTCACGGCGCTCTACTTCTGCTTCACGATGACTCAAAAGGTTTCGCGACTTCATCGCGAAAAGAGGAGGGGCGAGCAAGCATTTTCAACGGCTAGTTTTCTGTGCGAGACTCCCGTAACAAAGTTTCGTGTTCTCCTTTAAGAATTTCAACTTGAATTTGAATTTGTACGAATTGCTTTTGTTTATTCAGCTAGGAACTTCTTAGGTACTGTTGAGCGGGTTTACTACATGATCCGTTGTGCAGCTCGTCGCGTGTTATCCACAGTAGCTGCTCGTAATATTGAAGCGTCTTCTTCAATTCCGGATCATATCTCAGGACCATATGATGATGAAAAGCCGGTGAGCTTTTTTCGGACATCTAGGATGAAATTAGTAATATGTCGATGAGAAAGGAAGGAGTAGGTATGAAAGATGAGTTGGGGCTGTGGCTTTGTCGCTTCAATTAGGAATGCCAGATACATGATTTATAATTTTGTTTCTTCAATCT